TCGTCCTCCTGGTCTTGCTCGTCCTCCTCCTCGTCGTGCTCTTGCCCCTGCTGAAAATGTGGCCCAGGAATGGGAGTTCTGGGAAGTCGAAGAGCACGAAGTTGCCTACAGTTGGCTACGGGCATTCAAAATGTGGCCCGGGAATGGAGTTCTGGGAACTCGAAGAGCACGAAGTGGCCTACAGTTGGCTCCGGGCATTCAAAATGTGGCCCGGGAATGGAGTTCTGGGAACTCGAAGAGCACGAAGTGGCCTACAGTTGGCTCCGGGCATTCAAAATGTGGCCCGGGAATGGAGTTCTGGGAAATCGAAGAGCACGAAGTGGCCTACAGTTGGCTCCGGGCATCCAAAATGTGGCCCGGGAATGGAGTTCTGGGAACTCGAAGAGCACGAAGTGTGTGACTGTTGCATCCGGTTATTCTAAAGGTGGCCCGGGAATGGCGTTCTGGGATCTCGAAGAGCACGAAGTGTATGACTGTTGCATCCGGGTATTGAGAATGTGGCCTGGGAATGGAGTTCTGGGAAGTCGAAGAGCACGAAGTGTGTGACTGTTGGTGAAAAACGAGCCCGGCACCCTGCCGCCCGGCAACTCCCCAACACCTGCCCGGACCCCCCTGTGGAGTGATCTGTGAGCTCTTTTGAGTCAACTAGAAACCTATCAGTCTTCGCTGTTAGGTAAAAATAGCCTGGGGACTCTTTCTTGAATATCTTTTTACCTTTTGGGGGTGTTTTGGGGTATGTTTAATTTTTCGTCGACAATCCCCCTGTAGGGGGACACGCCAGACATAAATCTGGCGGCCCGTGCGGCCTTCCGCGGCCGCGGCGGGCGCTCGAGGGTGCCCAGGTGCCCGGGTGCCCTGGCGTGCCCGGGGGTGCCCGGGGGTGCCCAGGGGTGCCATATAGCCCTAAGCCCTATAGCCCTATAGCCCTACAACTCTATAGCCCTATAGCTCAAGAGCCCTATAGCTCTGTAGCCCTATAGCTCAATAGCCCTCTAGCCTCCCACGGAGCGGGCGCGCCGCCGAGCCTCTGCTTCGCGGCGGAGGCCCGCGGGCTGCCGAGGCGGGCGGGCGTCCGCCCGGGCGCTGCGCGCGCGCCCCGCTGCTCGGCTGCGCGCGGGGAGGTGGCCCTGGCCAGGGGCGGCCTCAGAGGCTGCCCCGGCCAAGAGGGGCCAAGAGGCTGCCCTGGCCTTACTGGGCCCTGGAAACGACAGGGCCGTTTTTGTTACCGGTTCCGTTTTGCCGTTTTTTACCGCTTCCGACGCCGTTTTTTACCGGTTCCGTCGCCGTTTTTTTACCGGTTCCGGCTCCGGTTCCAATCCTGGAGCCGTTTTTTTGCCGATTCCGGTCACCGTTTTTTTGCCGTTTCCATTTTCAATGGACATTTTTTTGGAAACGTTGAAAAAACGGCCCACAAAGGCCCTGGCCAAGAGTGGCTCGGAGGACACACTAACAAATAGGCACAAGTCACAAGGAATTCCCCATATGCTCCCATGTCTTCTGGGCGTCTGTCTTCCCCCACACACTTCCCATAGTTTCCCACACTTTCTGGGGATCGACGATGAATTGTGTCTGTGTGTTTCTTCCCTCCTGACAGATGGCGTCCGAATAGAGGGGGTCGGAGGATCGCGTCGCATCACCCATGCATAGCCGATGCATCGGCGATGCATGATCGACATCGGCGATGCATCGGCGCCATCGGCGTGGAGAACATCGGGCTCCCCATCGAGTATCGCCGGTGCATCGGTGATGCGGCGGCAAGACCATCCGATCCCATCTACCCCGACCCCATCTCGGAGGCCTAGTGACCCGTAGTGCGCGACCTGCAGATCGCTGCATGCGATTCGACAGTGGCGGGCAAGACGTCTGCTCAGATCCACTGCAGCTTGAAACTTCGGACTCCCCTTTCCAGAAAACCCGGGGCGCACTGGACATGGACAAAAGTCTACCACTGCAGGCTTGATTTGTACTCCAGATTTCGTAATGAAAGGGAGGGGGTCTGGACCCTCCAAGACAAGCCATTTCAGACCTCCCCCGTGGGAGAACCCTGCAAAACATCATTCCCAGACCCCCCCTAGGCCCTCCGAGATAGCCTGGGAGAGACCCCCCCCGAAATGAGACCCCCCTCCCTTTATTACGAAATCTGGAGTATCCGTATCCAGGGCGCCTCGGCCTTGTGGCGCTCTTCCGAAGAACATCCAGGGCGCAGTGGACATGGAGGCGAGTCTTGCCCGCAACGGCGGCGGCCTGCGCGCTCGCCCTGGGCTCCCGTCTGAGCCACGTCGGCGTCTGAGCCCACGTCGGCCGCCGAGCGGACCCGAGATCGAGCCCTTCCGGTGGCCTCTTAAAACAGGGCTAGGATCGGGATAAATCGCTCCAGAGCGTTCCGGAGCGCTCTCAGAGCGTTCCGGAACGCTCTGGAGCGGCCGCGGCGCCCAATACATCCTCCAAACCCGCCGATTCTCAGAGATTGCGAGTTATCCCGATCCGATTTTGTCCCGATCTTCGCGTCGTTTTACCTATCGGGTCGGGCGAAAGGGGGGGATAGCAAAGGGGGGGTTGAGAATCAGCTCACGTAGCTGATTTTCCCGGCGCCTCCCGGCGCCGGAGGCGGCCCCTCGGTGGGGCCGAAACCAGCTGCATGCAGCAAATTTCGTAACCCCCCCCTTTCCCAATCCCCCCCTTTCGTCCGGCCCGAGCCTAGCGGGCCAAGTTTTCCGTGACTCTGTTGAAACCGAGCCAGTTCAGCTGCCCCAGTCGGCGGCCGACCAGGCGGAAGACGCCGAGCGGGTTTGGCCCCCCCGTGCCCCCCGAGCGCCATCGGGTACGCGCCCAGCCCGGTCCGGTCGGCCAAGGCTAATGCGACCAAGCGATCAAAACCACAAGTCGGGCAGGGACGATTCGACACCTAGTAACTTCTCGCCTGGGTCGCTGGATGCAGTGGCGGCGCGCACAGGGGGGTAGGGGGGTAGGGGGAGGGGGGGAAGGCTTCTTAGGAGGCCGCTTCTTAGAAGGCGCCAGTCTTACCATAGGTACATAGAGAAGGCCCGCGCCTTCTGAGACGCATGGGTGCTTCTAAGAAGCCGCAGTTTGAGCACGCTGGGCATGGGGCATTGCCTTCATCGCTTGGCCGCAAATTGGAGCACGCCCTGGCCCCGGGCTGCACAAGCCCGGGCCGGCCAAGGCAGCGTCTGGAAGCTCGGCCGGCCACGAGGCAGCTTCCACACACCCGGGTCCTCGGGGGGCGGGGGAGCTTTGGACGCCCGCGGTGGGTACGGACAAAAATGGGCACAGTGCCCGACAGCAAATGTTGCCCAAAACCGACAGCGGCCCGCTGTTGGGCAGGAGGCTTTCTGTCTTCAAAGAACCACGTCCGCGGCGGCGCAAACAGCGAGTCAGGTTCAAAATGAACAAGAACTACTATTGGGCATCGTACGGCAGGTTCGTGTCGTGCCGACCCCAGCGTTGGTTTTTGACACCGCAGGGATCGTTCAACCTTGAACGATCGGCCGCTGCCGCAACGTCCGATCGTTCAACATCGATCGATTCTGGGCCGCCGGCGGCGTTCAACCTTGAACGCCCGCGCTGGGGTCGCCGCTGGTCGACACGACGCAAACCTACCGTACCCAGTCTTTCCGTGCCCATTTCGATCGTCCCGAGGAGCGGGGTCGGCTCCAGGTGACTCCCGACCCCAGATCGGCCAGAGGATCTCGGAGGGCATCGGGCGACCCCCTGCTAGCGCTCACCCCCACGGCCTCCTCCTCCAGTCCCTGTGGTCTTCGGGCCACACCTCGGGCCTCTGGAACAGTTTCGGGGCGACCCGGGGCAGCCCCAGAACGCTCTCGGCGAGGCGCACCTGATCGAAACCGAACGAAGAGCCTATCTCTGCTGTTCGCGATACTGCCCGTGAATGGCCCTGCCCCCCCCATCCCCCCCCCCTCACTCCCTCCTGGTCACGCTCGCGACCACCAAGAATCAAAAAGAAACGCCCTCCGAGTCCAGATGGCACCCGTGAACCCTGGATGCCCTCTGAAACCTCGGCCGACCCTCACGGGCCGCAGTCCTGAGGCTGCGCGCCAGAGGCCACCCCGGCAGAGGGCCACTCCTCCTCAACCCATCCTCCTCCTCCTCCTCCTCCTCCTCCTCCTCGCCTTTTCTCCACGTCCTCCTCCTCCTCCTCCTCCTCCATTTTCTTCTCCTCCTCCTCCTCCACCTCCTCCACCTCCATCTGCTCCTCCACCTCCTCCTCTTCCTCCTCCTACTCCTCGCCTTGCTTCCCCCTTGTTTTCACCTGACCCTGCACATGCCTTGCTCGTCAGAGCTAGCACCAGCTGTTGCTCTTGAAGCCCATTTGGCCGCCATTCGCGAGCCTGCAGCCTGCAGATGCGCGGGGGTGACTGTACGCCCACGGCTGTGGCTGTGGCTCCATTATGGAGCCCTCTCGCGGACTCCCGATCCGAATCCGATCCTCGTACCACTGCTCCTCCTCTTTCTCATCCCCCTGCTTGTTCCTAGCTCCTCGTCATCCTCCTCCCTCTCCTCTTTTAAGCAAGGACCGGCCGTCCTGGCATACCTATAGGCCCTACAACAAATCTCAGAAACACCGAGTGCTCGAATAGCAACAATAATGTTTTATCGGACATGCAGCCGACTGGCGAAGACAAGACCATCTCGACCAAAAGCGCTCTGAGAACACTCCGTGCAAACCACCCAAAAGGTCCTCGGAACACTCCCTGGCGGGCCTGCAAGCGAGCCGCGACGCCTCGCCACTGCCTGGCTCCTCGCAGCGTGGGGGACGCGGCTCCTGCGGGACTCGGGTCCTGGGCCCCGGGGCCTTCCCCTGCTCACCCGGAGCCGTCTTCTGCCAGGGGCCCCTGGAGGGCTCCACGGGCCCGAGGAGCGGCGAGGAACCTCGGGACCTGGAGCCCTCTCCGGACCCGCCTCCCCCGGAGCGATCCTCGCTCCTCCCCCCTCGCGCGCGGCCGCGCCCGGCCGGCCCCCGCTCACGGCGGCGCCGCCGCTGCCGCTGGGGCCCCGCCTCCGGCGCGGAGCTCCTGGCGCAGCGCCTGGGGCCGGGTCGCCCGTCGCCCGTCGGCGGCGCCCAGACTGATGGGGATGCTGCTGCTGTTGCTGCTGCTGATGATGATGATGATGATGATGATGATGATGATGATGATGATGAGGATGATGATGATGAGGATGATGATGATGAGGATGACGATGAGGATGGTGGTGAAAATGGCGGCGATGCTGATGATGACGGTTATGCTGCTTATGCTGATGTGGCAGGCTCACTGATGGAGCAGCTCAGGGTCGGCCCCAAGCTGGCGGCCAAGCTTATCCTGCTTATGCTGATGAGGATGTGATTGTGGGAAGATAGATGAAGAAGAGGAGGGGGAGGCGCCTGATGATGATGGCGGCGGTGGTGGTGATGGTGATGACAATGGGGATAAAGCTGGCGATGCTGATGCTGTTGCTGGTGATGTGATCATGGGGAAAAGGAGGGCGAAAATAAAGAGAAGGTGACGAAAGTGGAGGATACGAAGGATGATGATCATGATGGCGGTGATGATGCTAATGACGAAAACGATAGCGACGGTGATGATGGTGATGCAGCATCACCATCATCACCGGGCAACGGGCCGGGAAAACATACCCACCTTAAAACGTACCCAGGTTCCACTGGTTCGGGAAGGTGTTCCGCATTTTTTGGAATGCTATCCCGCGCAGTATTCTGTGCGTACCGTTTCATGGACCTACTCATGCACGGTCGCCTGTCGCTCGGGGGGGCTCTGTCTATTCGCTTAACGCTGTGGCATGACCTCAGGGGCCACGGAAACACGCGGCACATATTCTTTGCAACGTGCGTGCAAATGTGTAAACGCTAGAACACGCGCGTGTTTTTCACTCGGAAAGATTACGTTGTGCACTTCTGTTGACGTTTTCTGACACCCGCGCAACCCCAACGCGCAATGGGGCAAACACGCGCGCGAAGGGGCCATTTTTTTCTTAATGCACCAACGGCTGACACCAAACACATTGGGAAGCGAACCAATCGATGAGATGATTCCTTTACGTCTTAACAACGACGTTGTACCGATCCGCATCAGTAGTCGTTCCCACGACCGCACATGAAGGGGGCTCACGCATAGGCGCGCTTGCTGTTGGCATTGTTTCTGCGCCTCGGCGCGTCCACGTCGGGGGCGAGCAGGAGGGCAAGAGGGGGGAGGGGGAGTGGCAAGAAGGGGAAGGGACACGGAAGGGGAGGAGGGGGTGGTCCCAAAGGTAGAAGTTTCAAACACGCACCCCCCGGGAGGGCCTCGAACCGACGAGGTTCCAAGTTCGAATTTCGAAGTGCGAATTTCGAAGTTCGGAGTTCGAACTTCGAACTTCGGACTTCGAACTTTTAACTCTGAATCTTCTTTTTTGGAAGCCCCCGCCAAAAGGAGCGGGGCGGAGGAAGACAGGGGGGCGGGGGAGGGGGGGGGGGGGAAGGGGGGAGAGCGCGCAGGGGGCGGAGAGGGGAGGGCGGGCCTGGCTTTTCGCGCTCGGGGGACGGAAGGAGGGAGGAACAGGGAGAGAGGAGGGGGAGGAGGAGGAGGTGGAAGGCTCAAACGAGGCCGAACGGCATCCATGAAAGTAATGTTTCTTTTTTCAGCTCCAGGAGCGCGGCAGGCCGCAGTCGACAACGAGGCGCCGACGTGCGCGCAGCGTCAGGCCAACGCCGCGGGTGCAGAGGCCTCTCACCTCCGAGCCACGGCCAGTCCAAACGGCGCGCTTAGCCGTTCGCTTCACGTGCCAGCGTCGTCTCTCGGAGCAGAGAGGGATGCGGGGAAACCGTAAAGTTGCTGTACAGCACAGCCTGTAGTTTGTCGTGGAGCCCAGCGCACGCGCAGCGCGAAAAAAATGCACGAGGACAGGCTTGTCGCCGCTTTCCTTGCCGCGGCGCTGACGCAGCGCGCGTCGGCAGCAATCAAAAAGGCCATGCATCAGCGGGCGCGCGCGTTTAAAACTCGCACAGGGACTCTCACTGTCGTCGGCTTTTCGCCTGAGCACCCACCTCAGCGAGCAGCCCCCGACGACGGGCCACTACCCAACGACTTCGCGGCGAGGCGCTTGCGCAGGGCGTCGGACACCCCCGCCCCCGACGGCGGCGAAGGGGAGGGCCGCTTGTTGCCCTTGGCCTTGCCCTTGCCGCCGTCCGCGGGCTGCTTCGGGGTGGTCGGCTCCCTCTTCTTCGCGAAGGCGGCGCCCGTCCAGTCCGGCGAGCGGGGTGGAGCCACGACGCCCTTCGCTGCGAACTCGCCCAGGAGGTCTTCGACCTTGTACGAGCGCCCGTCGTCTTTCTTGAGCGACAAGCTCGTGTTGTAGTTGAAGGGGTCATCAAACTCAAGCTCCACGGCGGCGAACTTGAGGACCGCCTTCGGCTCCTGGTGGTCGAGGCGGCACGTGACCGACCACTCGTCCTCGCTGTCGCCCTTCGCCCCGCTGTAAAAGCCGTCCTTGAGGTCGTCGTCGGTGTACTCGGTGCTCAGGGGGCGCCCCTTCGCGGTGTAGTGCTGGCTTAGCGCCGTGCCGAAAGCTTCCCAAGTCTCCAGGCCCTCGTAGGTGATCGTCGGGAGCGGGGTGTCTGGACCGACCCTGAGCCCCAGGTAGAGCAGGCCCAGCTTGAAAGCCTCGCACCAGCAACCGTCGAGCGGCGTTTCCGGGAAGCGCTCGGGCTCCATCTTGTGGAGCAAGAAGTCGACAAGACCGTTCTGCCTTGTCTGGTGGCGACTAAGGCCGCGAAACAAGACGACGACAGAGACGAGGCGCGACGACGACGACGACGATGGCGGCGGCGGCGACGGCGACGGCGACAGCGACGGCGACGACGACGACGACGATGACGACGCCAACGACGAAGACGAAGACGACGACGACGACGACGACGAGGACGACGACGACGACGACGACGGACGACGGCGAAACTGACGTTTATGCTCTTGTGAGCGCGCTAGCGAGGGCGGCGAAAAGCCACGAGGCCAGGGAAGGGCAAACCAGGAAAGCCTCGAAAGCTCCAGGTTCGAACGTGGACCCTTCGAAGTTCGAACTTCGAACTTCGAATTTCGAAGTTCGACGTGTGCAAATTGGGCCCCCCCTGACTCTTGGGGGGGATGGGGGGGTGGGAGGAGGAAGAGGGCCGAGAGCCGGCAGGAGGGGGAAGGGGGAGGGGGGGATGGAGCGGGCGCAAATCAGGGCATGAAGATTCCTCCGCCCTCTGCCTGTCCAGGTGCTCGAACTTCTTCAAGCCCGCGCGAAGCCTCTTGCCCTGTGGCTGCTCCGGCTCGGGCTTCTCGCCGCTCTCGGCAGGCTTGGAGGTGGCAGACGCCCTGAGGACCGCCTTCCACTCCTCGTTGTGGAGGAGCGCGTTCAAGTGGTACAGCAGGCCAGGGTCGGCACGCAGGATCTTCACCGTGTCCTCGACCGTCTGCTCGATGGCCGCCTCGCCCGCCCTGCTGAGGCTCGCGAGGATGGCCGCGGCCTCCTTGTCTGCGGCCTTCTCGGCGCGGCTGCTGGAGGACATGGCTGCGCCGAGGGGCTCCGTGGCGGAGTTTGGGGGGCCGCGGCAGGCTTGTCGCCGAAAGGCTTCTCAGACGCACTGCGCTTGAGCCTAACGGTTGCCGAAGACGAGATGGATGGGGGGCGGGCGACAGGGAAGACGGGCGGGCGGAGAGGGGGCGAGGGGGGTGACGCAGACGGAAGGAGGAGCACGAAGGCAGACGGCGGACCGAGAGGGGGGGAAGGGCAAGAGGAACGGAGCGAGCGAGGGCGGCGAGAAGCCTGCCTGCAGGCTGAGGAAGGGCAGGGGGGGGCCTCCAAAGGTATATATTCGAAACTCGCCATGCCCTGGAGGGCCTCCAACCGACGACGTTTCAAGTTCGAACTTCGAAGCCCGAACTTCGAAATCAGGAGGTCTAAGTTAGAACTTCGAACTTCGACCATCCAACTCTGAACGTCGCGCTTTGGAGGCCCCCCTCCCCCCCCTCCCGCCACGAGAAATGGGATGGAAGAGGAAATGGGGGACGTAGGAGGGGGAAGTTTTTCCGCGAACCTACTCCTCGGCACTGCTGCCTCGCGTCGGCGCCGCCCAATACGCAAAACAACAGACATTGGGGCGCAGCGCAGGCTGACGCCGAAAAATGGGGGCAGCACAAGCTTGCGCCTCTAGCAGGTGAAACTGAGCGGGCCGCAGCACAGGCTTGACGCCGAACAGACTGCGGACGAGCAGCGCCAGACAGGATGACGTCAAAAAGTGCTGCAGCGCTGCCTGTCATCGATACACACATTGCTTCGTCGCTCACGGAAGCTCCGCCTCGCGGAAGCGTTTGGCCAGTTCTTCCATGTCAAATGGAGCGGCCTCCTTGGTGAAATCGTAATGGAACGTCCACGTCCACCAAATCGCCTCGCAGGCTGCGCACTCGTAGCCCCGCTTCGTCCACGACACAGACTTCCATTGGTTCGTCGGCGGGTACAGCGCACGCCAACGGCCATTATAGTCGTCCACGTCAATGGATCCCCCCCGAGGGACCCACTTCAGCATCCACTTCGTGATCTGCTCGGTGCTCTTGGCGTCCTTCTCGGGCAGCCACCGCGGGCCTTTTCTCTGCGTCTGGCTGTGCGCCGGTGCGGGGGCCCTCCTGAAGTACTTCTGCACGCGCTTGTCGCGGGTGGCCACGATGTGCTCCCTCTCCGCGTGCACCGCCGCCACCTGCACGGCGTACTTCTCCACGGCTTGAGCTTCCCCTGGCACGAGCACCTCTCCGAGCATGTCGGGCGGGACGTAGAGGTCAGCGTGCGCGTCGGGCAGCTCTTGCAAGAACCCCCGACACAGGCATTCAGACGCCTCCTTGTCGGTCAAGTCTGGCTTGATCGCCGAAATCGCAGCCAGAACCAAGTCCGTCTTGCGGTGGTCGGCCGCGGAGGCGTCTGCTGGCAACGCCTTCCCCTTGCTAATCAGGAGAGCCTCCAATGACTCCTCTCCAACGCCAGGGAACCCCGACTCGGCTTGCGCGTTGAGCAACGG